TATAATATACTTAAGATTCCCACACCACCCCCCAAAAAAGAAAGCATTACAAGAGTCAAATAGGCAAAATTTATGGGCATAATTCAAACACACAAAAGCAAACTGTTTAAAATACTTAAGGGAAAATGTTCTATCTCAACAGCAAAGAATCACATATTGAAAGAAGAGTAAAATACCATTTCTATCCTACTAAACTTGAAATATATTTCAAAATGACAAATAAAATTGAGGTAGTGACACCTCTGTAAAATAGGACAAACTCTTTTGGGAAAGAATATGGTGATGTACATTAAAAGGTCTAAATAGGCCCTGGCTGGGTGGCTCAGTTAGTTGGAGCACTGTCCCATCAAAAAGTTAAAGGTTTGATTCCCACTCAAGGCACATACCTAGATTATGGGTTCGGTCTCCAGTCAGAGCACATACGGGAGGGTAACCAATCAGTGTTTCTCTTTCTTTCTCTCTCCCCTCTGTCTTCTCTCTCTAAAATCAATAAACATATCCTCAAGTGAGGATTTTTTAAAAAAGATTTAAAATGATTCATATTCTTTGATCCAGCAAACTCACACCTCAAATCTTTGATGAGGAAAAAACTGAAAATATGGACAAAGTTTAATGATAGTCAAAGATGTTCATCCCAAGGTTATTTATTTATAAGAAAGAAAACCAAAGACAGTAGAAGGGGTCAACAACAGTGAATGTTATATAAAATGTTAATAAAAGCATAAATCAAAAATACAAAGACCTCAGGATTATAATTGTATGTTTAAAAGGGGAAAATTGAATTTATCAAACTTGCAGGATGGAAGATTAACATGCAAAAATCAGTTGTGTTCCTATACACTAGCAAAAACAAGCCAAAAAAGGAAACTAAGACAGGTATTTCATTTATAATAGCATCTTAAAGAATTAAGCACTTAGAGATAAATCTAACACAAAGGACATGAAAGACTTATATACTGAAAACTATAAAACATTGGTAAAAGAAATTAAAGAAAATCTAAATAAATGGAAAGGCATCTGTTCATGTATTAGAAGACTTAATACTGTTAAGATGTTCATACTGCCTAGTGATCTACAAATTCAATGTAATCCCAATTAAAATTCCAAAAACCATTATTTGTAGAAATGGAAAGCAAATCTTCTAATTCACATGGGAACTGCAAGGGGCCTCAAACAGTTACAATAATCTTGAAAAAGAAGCATAAAGTTGGAAGACTCAATGTCCTTACTTAGAAACTTATTTCAAAGCAGTCAACAAAGAAGTGTGGTACTGGCATAAAGACAGACACATAAACCAATGAAACAAAATAAAGAATCCAGAAAAAAACCCACACACGTATGGTCAACTGATTTTTGACATGAGTGAAAGGGGAAAGAACAGTCTTTTCAACAAATGGCGTTGGAAAACCTGTATATCCACATGTAAAAGAACTGAAGTTGGGCCTTAACTTATACTGTATATAAAAATTAACTAAAAATGGATGGAAGACCTAAATAAACTTAAAAGCTAACACTACAAAACTCTTAGAAAAAAACTGAAGAAATCTTCATGACATTAGATTTTTTATAACAATTCCATGTATATAACACCAAAAGCACAGGCAACGGAAGAAAAAATTAATAAACTGGATTTCATCAAAATTAAAAACTTTCATGCATCAAAGGATACCATCAAGAAGTGAAAAGACAATCTACAGAATGGAAGAAAACATTTGAAATCACGTACCTGTCAAGGGATTAATGTCTAGAATCTCTAAAGAACTCCTATAACTCAACAACAACCCAATTAAAAAAATGGGCAAAGGACTTGATAGACATTTCTCCAAAGCAGATATATAAATGGCCAATAGTAACATGAAAAGATGTTCAACATCATTAGTCATTATGGAAATCCAAGTCAAAACCACAATGAAATACCACTTCATACCTATGAGGACAAACTACCTAGTGATCATTTTTAAATGCGAGGACAATTTTAAAAAGGAAAATAAGTATTGTCAAGGATGTAGAGAAACTGGAACTCTTATGCACTGCTAAAGGGAATGTAAAATGGTGCAATAGTTTGGTGGCTCCACAAAAAGTTAAACATAGAACTACCATATGACCCAGCAATTCTACTCCTGGGGATAGATGCAAAAGAACTGAAAGCATGGATTCAAATAGGTATTTGTACACCAGTGTTCACAGCAGCATTATTTGCAATAACCAAAAGGAAACAACCCAAGAGTCCATCAACAGATGAATGAATAAACAAAATATGGTATATATACGTACACAAGAGAATACTATTCAGCTATTAAAAGAAATTCTGACACATGCAACAACATGAATGGACCTTGAAAGCATAGTATTAAGTGAAATAAACCATACACATTAGGCCAAATATTATATTATTCCAATTATATAAGGAACCTAGAATAGGCAATTTTTTATAGACAGAAAACAGAATAAAGGTTACCAGAGGCTGGGGGAGGAGGGAGAGCAGTGAAGTTATTGTTTAATGGGTAGAGTTTATGTTGGGAATCCTGAAAAAATTTTCAGTACAGACTGTGGTGATGGGTACACAGCTTTGTAAATGTATTTGATGCCATTGAAATTGTACATTTACAAACAGTTAAAAGAATAAATATTATGTTACATATATTTTACTAAAATGTAAATTTAAAATTTAAAAAGTGGGGACAATACTATCTATAATGAAAAGGTAGGAATGAAATAAACCAAATGTCAGCAGCTGCTATTTTGAGAAAAATCTTTGGGTGGTTTCCTCTTTCTTTCAGCCACTTTCTCTATTTTCCAAATTTTCTTTCAATTACTCTTTGGATAGGAAAAAACCCCTGTTATCTCAACACTTTTTCAGGTTTTAATATATACGTTGTTCACCAGCCCAAATTTTTCTCTTCCAGAAAGTTTCTTCACATTTGAACCAGAATTTACAAAGGATTTACTTAACGAAGGACCATAAGAAAAGGAAATAGTCACTTAAAATGATTTAAAGAAGTTCATTGTTGCACAGAGGTAAGAACTAATGTTTTCTTATGAGGGGGTCCACCTTACCCCGTCCATAGGCTCAGTGGGCCCACTAACTATAACCATCAAGGGCAGTAATCCTCTCCTTTATCTGAGTTTCTCTCCAGCCCTCTGGGCACTGAATAAAAAGAAGAGAGGTTTCCAGTCTCCTTGGACAATTTGACATTCAACAAATAAATTAAAATACAATGGTAATTTAAACATGCAAGTGAGGATTTTCCTTAAATTTAACTAATTGAAATAATGAATATTGATTCACCCTTAAAAGTACCCTAAGCCCTTCCCACAAGGTCCTATTTATATGGCCAAAGATACTGACATTGCGCTGGGTTTTTATGCAGGAGTCCAAAGGACCTGTTCTCCCTTTATGACAAATAAATAAAACAGTAGGGAATCAAATAAGTCACTAAAAAAAGAAGATACAATTTCTTATCTTCCTTTTTCATATCCACTTCCATTGGGAATAACAAAGTCTGAGTTCTCATGCAACACTTATCTAAATGTGTCGATTTTATCGGATTGATGAATTTTGCTAACAAAAGGCAGTGCTAGGAAGTCTCTTTTATGACATATTTGGCCCATTCACAGGACTGGAGCTTTAATTTAATCAACTTGAGAATTCTGAGCAAGAACTGCAGGTGCTGGATCTAAAAAAGAAGTCATAAATGGGAAGGCATATCAATCTTTATGATGGGGAAACAAAAACACTCTCTACTTGCTTGCCCTCCACAGGCAGGAGAAGGAGAGGTGGAAGTAGCAGGATATTGTTTCAGGCTGCATAGCACAGTGGAAGCATTGCTGTCTCCTGGTGACCACTACTTAATATTGATCAGAAAGCGCTGGCCCGGAATGGAAGACAGGAACTGGTAAAACAATGAGATCTGTCAACACTGTGTGCTCAACAAGGACATTTTCTCATTTTCTCAACCACATCAGAATTAGTCATTGACTTAGCCACCTAAGCAACCAGGTGGCTTCTGTCCCTTAGTCCCCACATCTCTCTCATCCCCACCCTACCTAGTAGCACTGTCACCTTCCTGCTCCCAGGGACCTCTCCTATCAGAATGCGATGATTGGAGGCAGAGCCAATAGCATGACAAGGCCTTCTGAATCTCCCTAGATCAGCCTCCTCTCCTTCCACTACCTGAACTCTGAGCCACCCTTCTCTTCCTGGAAAAACCACCATAACCTCTTCCTATCTGTCTCTCTGCTGCCTCCATATCCTCCTTACTATGCCATCCTTCCACCTGCAGCCGGTCATCTCTAGATGGAAGGGAAACCTCTTTCAGTCAGTCCAAACTCTTTAATTTCTACAAGATGAAATTGTAAATTCCTTAGCGTGAAATACTACAAAGGTCCTTTTGTAATCTGACCTTTCATAGTGTCTCCTCAATAGCACGTCCATCAGTCCATTCATCTGTCTATCCACCCAATTTTATAAGCCTCTATAACAGAAACATCCAGCCACCCACCAGAACTCATATCTCCTTCTGATGACCCACTTGCAGAAAAACAGTGAGGGGACAAATTCCCTACCTTAATGAGCAGGTAGGACACAGTCCTCATCAACAGAATCTCAGTGGGAAGTGTATGCCCCTTCTAGGCCCAGGCCCTACACACTGGACCTTCCTGTAAACATGAACACAGCAGTGCCCGTACCTGTGCCCACTTTGCACAAACAAGGACACACCCTACAGTGGAGAGCCAGCAAGATGGAGGTAACCTAGGTTTCTGAACACTGTGCAGACCAGAACCACCCACTGCTCCTGTTAGGAAATTACCTATAAAATCAGCTTCTTAATTCTTTATGCCTCGAGACTGTTTGGCCTCTTGCAACAGCACCTTAACCATTACCCTTCATGCAAGCAAGGGCCAGGCATGATCCTATGTACTAGGGCAACTGCCTGACCAATCTGTGTACTCTGAAGCCTGCTTGTGTATGTAAACCTTCTACTCATTGGCAAACCTACTTGGTGTTCTGTAGGGTTTTCTGCATTTTCTTGGTCATTTTATCTATTGCTGCCTGTCTCTTCCCTTCAGCCAAGAGGTCCACCTTGTTCAGCACCACGATCAGCTTCTGGCAGGCAATCTGTCCAATCACAAGGCATTCTGCTGACTGGGTCTGCATCCCCTTGGTCACATCAATGACCAGCATCATGAGATCAATGATCTGGGCCCCTGGAAGAAGAGAAAACAAGGTTAAAAATGAAAAAGGGAGAGGTCAGCTCAGAAAGCTGCCTGATGCCCTGGGTCAGGCAAAATCAGCCCAATGAAAGTATTAAAAGGGGGCAGAGTGGGAAATGAGCAATTACCACATATCTTCTAGCACCAGGCCACAGGTGACATGCTTTGACCTATGTGATTTGACTGAATCCTCATGACTACCATAGAAAGCAGGCATTTTACACCATTTAGAGATGACAAAACTGAGGCCTACAAAAGAGAGCTTGCCCAGCCCACACAGCCAGCCTGCAGCAGGGCTGGGTGACTCCAAAATCCATGCCTTTCATTGCACAGTCCTACCATTTCATTCCATCCTACACAGGCAAAAACAAGCAAAAAAAAAAAAAAAAGCTCAGTGTTAGATAAGAAATCCTTATGAACTTGCCCTTGCCAAGACAGAGAAAAGAAGGACTAAAAAAGTGAAGGAGGAGGTGGGGCAGGAGTGGGTATATTCTCAATGGCTCCCGTGTCTTTTCCTCACAGTGCTTGGGGTTTCATCATGATCATCTCATGCTTGGCTGGACTATATCTGCTCACTTCTTCACTTCTTCTGTCCTTTCCATTCTAGTTGGGGTTGGGGGGTTCCTGTTCTTCCTAGGGAGGGCAGAGTAGGAGCACACAAAGTTTAGCTATATTAACAGGGCATCATATGTGTATGTGCATGTATGGGTGTGCATGCATATGTATGTGTGCACATCCATGCCAGATTGTAAGCATGGCCTGAATACACAGCCACACCTGAGCTGAACAGCAGTGGATGGACAAATTACAGAGAAGTCAATGAAGGGAAATAGCCATTAAGTTCTATGTAAGGAAAACTAATATTAGCCAGTGAAGTAACTGTGTTCTTTTAAATGGGATTATGAGTAGCTTCAAATAAAAAAAGGTATTATTTTGTGGATGCAAGAATATGAAAACATTTTCTCTTTGCCCCATGAGGGGTTTTCAGGACCAAATTATTGTCATGGTGAGGCAGAGGAAGACTCTTTTGTGGGTGACTCTCATGATAGAACCCTACTGATGGGAAAGGGAAGGCAAAGAGGAAGGGCAGTCTTTTTTGTTGGCACAATTACTGGTACACTAGTCAGCCACATAGATTTTTCTAAAGCCTAGTATTTCAGTTGAAGTATTTCAGCTGAAAGTGAGACTCAGAGTCATGGTGTCATTTGCTGTAGATCACACAGCCAATTGAAACCAAAGGCCATCAGAAGCCAGGGTGCCTGACTCCACTGAGGACGTATTCTTCCCTGGCCACCACTGACCTGCACAGCTCCTCTGGCTGCCCCCAGGAAAAACAATACGTGTCTCTGACTCTAAGTATCCCAACAGTTCTTTCTCCCCTCCATTCCATCCTCCCCAGCTCCCTTTCCTACCTTACCATATAAGCTGGGGACACAAGTGGAAGTGTGATACAAAGGGACCTGGAGGGACAAGCCAGGTGCTCAGAGCAGTCCCACGTGGCATCTCCCTTGTCAAGTCACCAGGTAGTAGAGCCCAGGTCTCTATTAAGCCAAACAGAGAAGGGGGACATTGGTTCTATCATCTACCATGAATGGACAAATTGTGTACAACACTCACCTTTTTAAACAATTGAGGCCTACAAAACCTCATCTGAAAGATTCTCTCATATTTCTACTGAATCACCAACTCAGCCCTGGAATCCATTTCTGTTCCAGCTCTAGTCCCCATGGCACTTGTCAGTCCCATGTCAGCTGTTCTCAAATGGCTCCCTTTGCCTCAACTTGTCCCTCTAAAACCCATCCTCCAAACAACCTCTCAAAAGGAACTTTCTAAATATGCATGATTAATTCATATACTGTTGGAAGGGTGGGGAAGGGTTAAGTTAGAACAACCTCTATTTAGGGAAAGTCAATTTGGAAACAGCTATCAAAGGTATGTAATCTTTGACACAATCAAGCCCGCATATATGTGACATGTCCCTGTAGCATGCTTATTGTAGCTAAAGTTGAAAACCATGGAATATCCATCAGTAGAGGACAGGATTAAAATAATGCTACACCCATGAGACAGAATACTATATAGCCATTAACAAGAATGAAGAATCACTTTCTATAGTACTCTGGGATGATATCCAGAGTGAAGTAAGAAAAGGAGCAGAGACTTCCGGCCAAGATGGAGGCATAGGAGGACGCACCATACCTCCACACACAACCAAGACTGGAACAACAACAATTTAGAGGCAGAATAACATCCAGAACTGACAGAAAATTTATCTGAATGGAAGTCGGACCGCCAAGAAGTTGAAATAGACCTGTTCATCCAGACCGGTAGGAGGGGCAGAGACAAGCAGCCGAGCGCAGGTCGCGGCACGGAGAACAGGGAGAATTGGGCACGTAAGGCAACCGGGAGCGCATAAGGCATCTGGGGCGCACAAGATCGCAGCGGGTGGACCCTGAGTATGCAAGCGGTAGCTGGCAGACCCAGTGAGGCAGTGATTGTGGAGCAGGGCAGAGCATGCAACCCAGGATCCCAGGGAAGGGACTGAGGTCCCACAGAGAATGGAGCTACCGCCATTGTTCCCTCTTGACCCCGCCCTCACATACAACGTCACAATCTAGCGTGATCTGGGGTGCCCAGCCCTGGTGAACACCTAAGGCTCTGCCCCTCAATGTAACAGGAGTGACCAGACCCAAAAAAAAAAAAAAAGAGAGAGAGAGAGAGAGAGAGAGTTGGCTCAAACAGAAGAACAAATCAGTGCCCCAGAACTCATCCTTTTGAGTGATCAAGAGATAGCCAGTCTATCAGATGCACAGTTCAAAACACTGGTGATCAGGAAGCTCACAGAATTGGTTGATTTTGGTCGCAAATGAGATGAACAAACGCAGGTTACCATAAAAGAAATGAAGGAAAATGCATAGGGAACCAACAGTGATGGGAAGGAAACTGGGACTCAAATCAATGGAGTGGACCAGAAGGAAGAAAGAAACAACCAAACAGGAAAGAATGGAGAAATAAGAATTTGAAAAAATGAGGAGAGGCTTAGGAACATCCAAGACATCTTTAAACACTCCAACATCCGAATTATAGGGGTACCAGAAGAAGAGGTGGAGCAATAGATTGAAAACATAATTGAACAAATAATAAAAGGAGAACTTCCCCATTCTGGCAAAGGAAATAGACTTCCAGAAAGTCCAGGAAGCTCAGAGAGTCCCAAAGAAGTTGGACCCAAGAAGAAACACACCAAGGCACATCATAATTACATTAGCCAAGGTAAAAATGAAGGAGAGAATCCTAGAAGCAGCAAGAGATAAGGGGACAGTAACCTACAAAGGAGTACCCAGCAGACTCTCAGCTGATTTCTCGAAAGAGACCTTACAGGCAAGAAGGGGCTGGAAAGAAATATTCCAAGTCATGAAAGACAAGGACCTATATTCCAGATTACTCTATTCAGCAAAGCTTTCATTTAGAATGGAAGGGCAGATAAAGTGCTTCTCAGATAGGGTCAAGTTAAAGGAGTTCATCATCACCAATCCCTTATTTTATGAAATGTTAAAGGGACTTATCTAAGAAAAGAAGATACAGAAAAAACATATAGTAAAAAACATATAGTAAACATATAGTATAGTAAAAGGACAGCAAACGCACAATTACTAACAACCACACCTAAAGCAAAACCAAAAGAAACTAAGCAAACAACTAGAACAGGAACAGAACCACAGAAATGGAGATCATATGGAGGGTTAGCAACAAGGGAGTGGGAGGAGGAGAGAGAGGGAAAAGGTACAGAGAATAAGTATCCTAGATGGTAGGTAGAAAATAGACAGGGGGAGGGTAAGAATAGTATGAGAAATGTAGAAGGTAAAGAACTTATAAGTATGACACATGGACATGAACTAAAGCGGGGGGAGTGGGTTTGACAGGATGTACAGGGTGGAGGGGAGTGAAGGGGGGAAATGGGACAACTGTAATAGCATAATCAATAAAATATACTAGAAAAAAGAAAAGGAGCAGAACAATGTTGTATTAAAAGGAGGAAAAGATGTGTGGGAGGTATATGAGTATTTGCTTCTATATGCATAGAATATCTCTGAAGGAATACAAATGAAACAACTAACTTTTGGTTGTCTACTGGGGAGAAAGCTAGGTGATAGTGGATGGGGCAGAAAGAAAAGTCTTGACTGTAGATTCTTCTGTATCTTTTCATTTTAAACAGGAGAGTGTACTATCCATTCAGAAATCTATAAAATTATGTTAAGTACATAAGTACTTAACATAAGTACTTTATGTTAGTAAAGTACTAACATAAGTTAGTACTTATACTAACATGTTATACTAACATGTTAGTATAAGTACTTTACATAAGTAAATAGTCAAATAAAACATTGATCTGACTGTGCTATTCTCCAGCTATGATTATAAACAATCTCTGTGGTATGGCTTTGGGGGTCCCCTTTTACTTCACAGTCCTGGAATGCTCCCCTCTGCTAAGCATCACACTGTACTTCACAGAGCCCTTCTCTACGCTTCTCGCTCTGCCCTGGGGTGCTTCCACACATAGACACACACACACAAACACCACACACACTGGCCTGAACCCCACCCACCTCAGGTCTCTCCATAGGTTTGCCAGCCACAAGCAAACCTATCACCAGTCACAGGGCTATGTGGCCAGGTTTTGAGGCAGCAGACTTTGAGTCAGCAGGTTTTGGTGAATAGTGAAAAGGTGCTCCCTGGGTTCTCAGCCTGTGTGCCATGTGCAGCAAAGATTTCACAACAGAGTGGCCCAGAGCCTAACCCAGTGGCCCCCAACTCTGGTGGGCAAAGCTGCACCCACAAACTCAAGACTATCTTACCCCATGTGTGACTTAATAACATTGTTTCAAGAGTAATTCTAACTACCTGGGCTCCCTCTAAAACCTAAGTGCTATCCCTTACCTCACCCAAACTATTATTGATCCACTTTACATATGAGAAATTTGGGCTTGGAGAAGTCA